TAATGATCCCGTCCACGGGTTCCTCTCTCAGTCCAGAAAACATGGATGAAACCAAGAGAGACAGAACAATATCTTCTCAAAAACCTGGAGAGGGGCCACCATGCATCAAAATGGTGGTGTAAAATGGAGGAAGATCATTTGAGTAAGGATTTGTCTATACGGATCACTGAATCTGATTAACTCAAGGTGTAAATTAAGACCTATTAAAGTAGAGCAGCGCAAACCCCTGTGTGGACATTTTAATTCTGGCTTAAAAGTGGCTTTTTGCAAGTTAGTGTAAGCCAATTAGGAACAGGTTTGTGCTAGCCTAAAACAGACCATTTTCAAACCCACACAGGGGTTTGCACTCGTTAAACTAAACCAGCACCAGTTTCTGTGTAAAGAGGGCCTATCATTTCAATACCAAGTCCTTGCCAGCTTTACCTCTGATGGTGAAACTGGCAATCTGCAACCAACAGCTCAGCCTTGCAGAGAATTCCAGGAAGGCACCTAAGCTACTATGCAGTATAATTGAAACATAAACCCTTAACACTTTTTAGCAAATCTGTTCACAATCAAACCAAACTGAAGAGTGATTGCAATGCAAAAAAATAGAAGGAATGGTCACACTGAAACACCTGTGAAATCAAAAGATGTTAGGATATTCCGTTTTTCTTGGGGTTTTTGGTTTTTTTGAAAGGAGGGAGCCAAGACTTGTCTCAGAGGAGAAAGTTTTACCCCCCAAAATTAACTTCAGCAAAAGGGACATTTTTGTCAATCAAGATAGTGGGGGAGACTTTAAAAGGAAACACACTTCATAAATCAGGGAGAAAGAAGGGCAAGTCTACTTCAGCATGAATGTCGCTGCTGTGGTAGCTCAATGTCTAGACAAAAAGGGAAGCATAAAATCTCCCAAACTGTCACAATTCTGCTTTGTAACTGTAATACTGCTTTATAGTAACACAACAATAACCCAGTATTCCTATGGTTTCATAATCCCTTACCTACCTGAGATGGGGAAATTTTCTGGTTTCATACAAATACTTCCCCTCAGGTGTAGAACTTGGTACCTAGTAGAGAAATATTCCATTTCCTGAGCATTTGAGTGAAATTCATCCTTGGCTAAGGATTCCTTGTGGCTATATACTATTTCTGTTTCAGTTAAGGTCAATATTAAGGATTGGCATGGGGTCAACAAAAGTGATATTATCCTGTCTGATGGGAAGGAGTTATGAGAGGCAAGTAGATACCCATGAAGCTGATGAAGCACATAGATCATTTAACAGGACAGATATATGCAGCCGGTTTCCTCCCTTGCTACAGTCATAGTATCTACTGAAATACAGGATACATGTGATGTTTTGAGCTACCCTTTCTTTTCCTTAGTGTCTCAATTCACTAATGGTACCATGATATTACAGTAACAGGAGTATAGAATGGTGCAATCTCTGCCCTGAACTGACTACCTAACACCCCCTGCCCTCAAACCAAACAAAGTATGCCCACTGGAAGGAGCGCAGAGAGACTTAAAAAGAAAACAGTGGACAGCTCATGGTGAGCAACATCTTGTTCCAGCTGTTTTATTTTTTGAACATAAATGAAGCAAAAGTGAGTGAGAGAAGACCTGCAGAATGGGGTATGGTAAAAAAAGACAAAACTAAAAAGAAAAAAAGTGAAATAGATTAAATAAGAAAAAGAAGAATATGCAAAGAGAGAGGGCTAGGAGATAGGACAAGTAAATGCCCATTCAACAAAATAAAAAATGCCAACAGCTTAGTGTAGGGGTAAGAATTGGCTGATCCACGCTTTGTGGAGGTCATTGCTAGAAAGACCCTGACTCCACAAAGCCTAGATCAGCCAATGCTCACCTGAAAGGAGAATTTGGCCCACAGCATATAAGAACTGCCAACAAAGCCTCTGCAAAGCCTGGATCATTCCTGAGAAGATGCTGACCCCAGGGTGGAGCTCCTGCCCACAGGTTTCTCTCCCAATCCAACCAACGGCAGTACTGCCAGCCCCACGTGTTCAAAAAAAAAAATCAAGAGCAGAACTTTCCCAATCATATTTTTAAGACATTCATGAAATTTTTTTTTTTAATGAAATATTTTTGTTGCTTACTATTTGCCTTCCAGTTGGTGAGTCTTCAAGGCACATGCAAGGTCATATTTTCACGCTTCCCCCACCCCAACACAACCAGGAAAGAAAGAACTGTATTTTTTTAATAATGATAGCAGAAGTGTTCGTATGACTCCAGGAGTTGACTCCAGGAGTTGGAGTTTAAGCAAATTAGGAAATCCCGCAAGACTTGCACTAAAGTCACAAGAGTTCGAGACACTGTACAGGGGACTTCCAGAGGTGCTTTGCTTTCTGTTGAGCATTCTCTGGTTGGCCAGAGAGGTCAGCTGACTGGTCTAATTAACTTATCAAGGAGAAGGAAATGTATGCAAGCATCAGTAATCTATATTATATTTGCTCATTAGTCATACAGTATAAAGGGAAATGTTCTTTGGACACTATGTTTCAAAGAGATGTGGATTAGAAACCCCTTCTTCACCCAGATTTTTATACTCCTTCCACGAAGTGAAAAAGAATCAAAGGGCAGAAACCAATGGAAGCCATGTTCCTTTTAGGCTGAGTTGTACTCTCCGAACACATGAAGCTCTGGCTAAAGTCATTGGATGCATCTGAAGGGAGAATCTGGCCCACAGCCACAGCATATAAAGACCTGCCAACACACTTGGCTTACACACTTCCCTTTGGAAATAATAAATTATCTGGCGCTAACTAAAAACCTACAATATAGTCTGGCTTTACTGTGGCATCGCAGCTATAGACGAGGCTAAACAAAATAACATTTAGACTCAAGCAATGCCATCTTGAGTTCAAGATGGAACTTGACTGTAATAACTACGTATGTATATTAGCAGTACAGCAACTACATGTATTAGCAATAGAATTGGGTGGGCATTTTTTTTACATTTTATGCGTGTCAAAATAGAAACAGTTTTAATGGACTTTTTCAGGAAGTTCTCAGGTCCAGAATAGGCATCCAGGTTGTAGCTGTATTGGTCTAGAAGAAAAAGCAATCTGGGCTCATGGTAGAGGTGATACCTTTTATTAGACCAATAAGATTTTTGAAAAAAATTACTAAGCTTGCAATTAAAGAATTTTTTTTGCAAAAATCTTGTTGGTCTAATAAAAATATCACCTCTACTGTGAGCCCAGATTGCTAGGTCCAGGACAGAATTTCTGGTCAATATAAGAGTGAGAGAAAAAAATGTAAAGATTAGCAGAGTCTAAATGCCAGCTGACAGTCTAATAAAAGCATCAAAATACAAATAGTATGATTTTTCAAAAGTGTTTGGTGTTGATTCAACTTTGCTCCCAGTTTAACACTGCTTTCAGTGGAGGTGTTTAAGCCAGTGAACGTCACTTTGGAAATTCCCAACAAACATCTTCTCTCCCTACTTAATTAAAATAAATGCTAAAAGTTGATTGGGTAAGGAATTCTTCAGTGGAACGTTTTTCATCAGAAAAGGCTGATTTGTCAAAACTGAAGATATGTGTGGAAGTGTATCTGAGTTTGATTAAACTTTTGCCAGGAAAGTTTCTTGGGTCTTGGGTGGAATTTCTGCTCAAAACCAGTGACAGACTGCGAAACAGATGCTCTCTGTGTGGTGCTGGTAGGATTTGTGTCTGAGATTTGGGAGACTAAGGTTTATGCTCCCGTAATAGGCTAAGCAGAGTTTGGAACCTGGGTGACCCATAATCCCAGAAGGTTTCCTAACCATCTGGCTAATGAATGTCCAGGGCAAGTTTCTCTCTAATGCTCATTTTAGAGGGAAAACAACTTTGAAAGTTTCAAATTCTTTTTCTGTGTGAAATTCTTGTTTCTGGCCAGCCTTAGCTAAAAGAACAAAAGGAAAATTGTTAACTAACAAAAATAATCAACTTGCTTACGTTAGCCGTGACTTACTGTTTGCAAGCCAACCATCTCCCATCACCTTTCGGGACGAACATTTGAAAACGAAAGTGCTGCTAAGTAGACCCAGTGATGGTGTCGTTTAACACAAGCTAAAGAAGTCCTGCTCACTCTGTGACATTTCAACAGGCATTGGGGGGGAAGGGGCAACTACAAATTCTCCATGTCTGAGAACAAGGCTCTAAAGAGATGATCTGCTAAGACAGTTTGCACTGAGGATAGACTCAGCAATTTATTTTGTAACCAGACACTTTCTCCATAACATTTTCCTTGGCAAAGATTTACTATTCGTAACAAAAGCCAACGAGCTGCTGTTCAGTTTTACAGAAAGTTGTAAACTCATCTCTCAATGCAAGGTGTGTCTGAATGCAAATGCTAGCACTAGTAAACAAAGGGCATTAGAATTAAGTGTACCCAAAATGCCAATGCAACATGAAGGTTAAAAAATAAACTTGCAATATCAGGAGAAACAAGAAGGAAAGTTTCTCAAGTGAACTCCCACACCATACACATATATGTTACTGTCAAATAACAAGTTTGGATGTGAGGCCAGATATAGACCCAGGCCACAGCCAACCTTCCAAATTTGTGGGTTCAAATCTGCACCCACAAATAATTGTGCCTATACCAGCTACACTTGGACAACAAATATGAGACTTCTAAGTGCAAGCAGGCAGTGAGCTGTTCTACCATCGGATATGAATGCAATATTGATAAGTTCAATTTTATACTTACACATTGACACCATTGCTGGAAATAGGCCCCAAGTGTAAATCATGTGTAATGTGGGTGTGTGTCATTATGAGAACCTCTTCTATTTTTTGACAATGCTGTGTTATAAATGTATAACCTCTGCATGACATTACCAAAGTGTTTTGTATTCAATATTTATTGCTTCTTAAAAAACACCAACTACCCAGATTTCTGTAAAAAAAAAATTTATTTTCCATATAAAAGTGCCAAAATATCCACCAACATTGTAATCTATTCCAACAACCAGCTTACTCTAGTAATCAAAATTGCAAGCAACTTTACTCACATTTTAAGTCAAATTCCTTTCACACATTTCCACAGTAACCCGAGTCCCTAGAAAGTGGAAAATTTGCATTCCGATTGGCTGCTGTAGTCCATATGTCCAAGTTCATATAGGCACGGAATGGGTTAAATCTCGGATAATATTCCTGCTTACACATAACTGCCTGGTTCTCAACATGGGTTGAGTGTTGGGTGGTGGCACTGAGTGGGCAGCAGTTTTCATAGACATCACTCTGAGGTGCCCAGATGGAACCAAAAAGTCCAGACATTGGGGACAAGCTTCTGGTGCTTGAGAGGTAGGGCTAGAAGGAAAGATAAAAACATTGTGAAAAACTGCACACTGCTCCATTTGGCAAAACAACTGGAGGTAAATGGGAGGGAAGGCAGTAATGCTGAGAGAAATCTGAGGATCACATAGGTAGCAAATCAGGGACAAGCTTACAAAATGATATGCTTGGGGTTGGGGGGAGAGCTAGTATTGCTTGGGGTTTCATGCACAGCACTGTTTCAATATTAGTGTGTCTCTCTATGGGTCGGACAAGACCACAACTGGCATGCTGTATTCGAGACAGGTCAAGTTAACGAGCCAGAGAGATAAATTAAGGTAAATTAAAGAACAATGTCAAAACTGAAACCCAAAACATGAGGGTCTGAAATTTGAGAGAGAATGAAAAAGCAAAGATTAGAAGGCTGTAAATACCAGGTCCATCACATTTTTTAGTAAGGAACACGGGGCTACAATGATGAGGAATGAGGTGAAAGTAAACAACATTCTGGAAGAGTATCAGAAGAAATCCTCTGACAGTGATATGTATTAGGCTATGGATTTGTCTCCAAGTAGGGCGACAAAAGCCTTCAGACTTTCAACACTGAATAAAATATAAACTTCATTATGATCTGAAATATCCAATAGGTTTTTCAAATATCTAACTTTATGATAAAATATGGAATAATGCGCTCTCAGTCCTGCATTTTCCATCATTAAATACAGTAGAAATAATACGTGTAGTTCAAATATCTCTTGCTTTCCTACTGCGAATACAAAAATATTCAAAATGGAAGATTTTTAATAATGGTGATGGAGAGGTGATAATAATAAGTGACAGCAACGTGCTTTATTGCAGGGCTGAAATAAACAAACTTCCGCACTTCTCTCTCTGTAGCTAAACCCAAATGGCCAAAGTCAGTACACTCTCAGACATTTACTTAAAGGCGTGCCGGTATCTGATCCACAATCCCAACAATCATGCCTCCTGCCACACCACACATGCATGACAGGACACACAATTTTGGGATCAGGAATTAGATCCCAATTGTGTCTTACGTGGTGTTCACAATCAGCCATTGGGGACCAAACGAAGGTCTGGAACTGATGCCAACTGACAATCAACCAATTGTCAAAACCCCAGCTAGGTGGCACATACAATTTTTACTCATCCCAGTGCATAGGGATCTCAGGATTGGGCTGCAGCAGCCTGATCCTGGGGTCCCTGTATGTGGAAATGAGTAAAAACCATGTGTGCCACCCAGCTGGGTAGCACACATGATTTTCTAACATCCCTGGTGCATGAGGACCTTGAATCAGGGAGAGGCTCCTTAATCCTAGGGTCCCCATGCACTGGGGATGGATTGTCAGAAGCCACACGTGCAAGCCAGCTGCACATGCGATTTTTAAAGGTCTGGGGTGCAGTGAGCCCCAAATCA